TCTTTGTTTCCGTCTACTTCTACAGTTATTGCTGAATTTTAGGTGCTCCTCGTTTTGTTTCTCTTGTTGGAACCGTGTCCTTGTCTTATGGAAATTTCAACAAAGTTTGGAGCTGCAACAAATTCAGGTCTTTTCTCAGACGTTTCCATTTTTCCCTCACCCACTTTTTAGTTCTGTTACGTAAACTTATTGTTTAGAAAAATTAGTTATAAAGGTGTTTAAAAGTATGCAGTAAAAAATGAACATAGCATTTCGGATATTATCTGTCGTACTTAAAATATATTGTTGCATACTTTTAAGCACTTTTATGGGGGTTTCAAAACAAAATCCCAAGAAATCCTCTTTTATACTGGTTCTTTCTCAAATTTGCACACTTTTTGGCAACTTAAGGTGGCCAAATAAGCCGAGATTCTAGAGTATCCTCACAATAAATATGCAAGTTCCGATTTCATGTGAAGAATAAATGGGAAAAAGGAACTATGCAATTCTGCTCGGCATTGTTCTGTGCTCGGCATAAGTTTCCTCCTCCGTTTTTCGAACTTTTGCCTGCTCTTGCAGGAAGCAGAAATGCCGAAGGATTTTATGAAAATAGCTGAAATAATTTTCCATTAAATTCTTGCGCATGAAATTATCGCATTAAAACGAAACAAAAGCCGCTTTTTTCGCACTCGAGTGGAACCCCTGCCACGCCCCCTCCTCGAAGCCCCCCAACGCCCCGTAACCCCCTCGTTACACTACGTCCATTGTTTGCTTAAATTTTGTACAGTTCCTCGGCGTCATCATCATCGTGCTCTTCCCGCTTTCTCCGTAGAACTCTTCTGCTATTTGCCTGGTGTTTTACTGTTTGCATTCATCTTCATTATTTGTTTGCTCTGCCCCAAGTGGGCGTGGCAGTCCTCAGCAGGGGAGAGAGGAGAAAGGGGGCGGCGGGAAGAAAGTTGGCTCTACCGTTGAGCACTTGGCAGCGAAAGTTTTTGACACAGTTGATTTGCATTTGAAATCCTCGCTCGGGAAACCCACTCACCCACCCACCGCCCAACAATCCCATCTCAACTCCGCCGAGAGGGCTGCCGGCTGCCCCACGATGATTTATGGATTTTCATCATATTCTGTTGATTCAGGGAATATTTATGATTTGCCAGTACTCCATTTTCTCCTCTTCGCCGTGGCTCGTCCTTGGAAATCTGCTCTCGGTTCTCTCGCATGGTATTCATATTTTTCGGGCAGCGTTTTTGTTATAAATTTTTTGAAAAAAAATTGGTACTTGCTGCGGCCATAGAACAACAAGGACAACAAATGAAAACAAAAATAAAAATAAAAATAAAAACAGAGGCAGAAAACGAAAGAGAAACAAAAGGACAGCGGAAAAATGCTGAATATGCGCAAATTGAATTTGATTTTTAAGCACTGATTGCTTTTATTGTTCTGGTCGCCGGGTCCGGTGCGAGAATCCGGGTTGGACTACGGCGGAATTTAAATAAAATATTCTAAAAAAGATAACCAAAGCCATGGGGAGAGGGAAAGTGGAAGCGGGGATGACCAGTAGCGAGCCTCATCTAGTACCAAATTAGAGACTTTAACTATTCAAGAAAGTCAGAATATAAGACCGATAAATGGGGTTAGCTATACTGAAAGCAACAAAATTTTAGATAACTTAATAAGGTGTCTAAAAGTATGCAGTGAAACAACGATTGAATCCATTGTTCTTCTGTATTTACTATATATTGGTGCATACTTTTAGGCAACAATACAAAAATTACATTTTTAAAATGCTATTTGTATCTTAAACCATCATCTTTAACCATCAAATCGGTCTTTAAATGAACTCAATTATAACTTTAAAATAAGTTTTTTAGGTCCCTAAAACTAAGCAGTAAGACATTATATTATTCTTCTGAACTCACAGTTCAGTATAATGTTGCATACTTTTAGACACCTTCATAAAAATTGTATTTTTAATATACTAGCTATAACTGAGGTATGGCCTATCCATAGTAAACTTGAATCTTCTTATTTAACCATCAAATTCGAAATATCCCTATCGATGGTTAGAACTTCCTGACACCTCTAGGGTATCAAAAAAAAGGCCTGACAATAAAGGGCTCCTGACAGCACATCTATATTAATTTATTGATATTAAGCTTTTGTGTTCTGCGAATTTGCATTTTTTGCAGCGGAAACTGGGAATAGTTTTTTGTCCGCGAAACGATATGAAATTGAAATAACCGAATTGCAGCAACAATTAGCCGAACATTTCTGGGCTCAAATTGATTTTCGCCTCGTCCCCGGAAAGTTGCTGTCCCGACGAAATTGCATTTTCATCGCGCCCGCCCGCAAAAAACACATTAGCACCGGAATGTGCGCAAATAAATACTTAATAACCCGCCGACAAAATAAAACCCCCTTGCACAAATGCAAGTCAGGGGCAGGCACATTAGCATGAGAATAAAACGAAATTACAGTCTTTAAAATAAATGTATGCGGAATTTCCAAGCCGAATGCCAGAAAGTATTCAACTAAATGCGAAATAAATTTGCCAGAAGACAAAGCCATGGGTGGGTGGGTTTTTCCAGCGGGTTTTAGGGGGTTTTCAGGGGATCTTCCTGGAGGGCGGGAATGTCAATTCCCTGGGCGTTTGGAATGTGCCGCCGCCGCCGCCAGGAGACGCAGAAAATCAATTTCGGCTACAAGTTTTCAATAAAGTGAAAATAATGTCGCCAGCCAAGAAGCTCCGCTCCGGTTCGCCATTATCCTGCGGAGATAAGAGTGGGTGGTCCGTGGTCCTCGTCCTCGGTTCCTTGCTCCCGATATCGAAGATATGGCGGGCACAGTGCCTGCGAAAATCAACGCCGAGTGTCAAACAATGAGGGTCGTTAGAGGCAGCAAATCGCAGCCAGTCGATTCGAAGGAGACTCCGAAGTCAAGTGCACAAAGCGTCAAATGAAAAGGAAACTGGGGGAGTGGGGATTGGGGAGCCAGAGTCCTCCGGTTGGGGACCCGGGATAAGTCTAGTGATGCGTAAAGCAACGCACTGTCAAAAAATACACCCGGAAGGGAGGGGGGCAGCCGGGGAAAGTATCAGCAAATCCGACTCCGTCTCCGATGGCTGCTGGTGTTTATTTATGTGCCTTGTGCCTTGTGATAAATCACTGACATTGATGCCTGCAGACGGGTGGGGGGAAAAGGATCCCCCGTCCTTAACCCATTTGGACCCACACCTAGGGTCTGCAGCACGGGCTGATACAATTGGAAGTATATATTTAACGGTTCCGAACCTTTAAAATGTTTTTTTTTGAGAAAGTTAAGTAGGCTGCTTCTGAATATATTTAAAGATTTTAAAGTGCCTGCTTATAAAAGTTACCATATTACTAAATTATTTTATCAGCTCAAATAAGTATCTCTTAAGAAAATTGTTAAAAATATATACCACTCTTCAATTATTTTTGTTTAATCTACTTTAAAATTGTGTTTGACTATAGGGACAGATGAAATGTAATTTTTAAAAAGTACTTTACTAACTAAAATAATGTTGTTCCTGTGACCCACCAAAGATGATTTATTTTTAGGATTTACTTCTAGGGAGGCGTTATGTTAAAATCTAAATCCAGAACAAACTGCGTTAAGTTAAGTTAGATACAGATTAAATAAAATTAAAATGCAAAAAGATAAAATTATCCTTTCCAAAGCCGTAGGAATATTAGTTAAACAAATAATCCTTGTCGAAATGGGTTAACCACCCTCTGATTTCCAAAACCCTCCTCCCACAGTCAGAACTTTAAAGCACTCGAAAGAAGCAGGCCTAACCAGTGAATCCCCCTGCATACACTAAAACCTGCCTTTAAAGGGTGTATAATAAGTTTATCAGAAGTCAAACAGGCGGTGGCGGGCGGGAGGCAGGAGGCAGAAACCAGGAGGACTTTTCTAGGAGTGTCCTTGTGGTCCTCGGTGGCGCCGCCCCGCAGGAAATAAAGCGGCGCTCAATCACGGCGCACGCCGGAAATCGGAAGTTAGCAGGCTCACGATATCGGAGCACAACAGCAACACAAGAAGTGAAAAAATATATAATAAGAGCAAGGAAAACTCAAGTGAAACCCCGAAACTGAGACACAAACTCTGCCGCAAAAGTTGGAAACTGTTTGGCAGCGCCAGATAAAATGTTGTTGATTGCGACGCAGTTGAGCGTTAATAATTATTATTTCTGGGCCATAGAAACGCCGATCTCCACCCATTTTATCCTGCAACTGGAACGTGATTTTTGATGGCCAGCAATTTGTGGCAGATTTATTTGTGCATTAACCTCGAATTTGCACCATTTCTCTGGGTTTTCTAGTAGCAGTGATTATCGATGGACGCTTTCTGTGTGTGTGGGTGTCAATAAATCCGGGGCAGGACAGGAATTCCAAGAAGAGGACCAGCTGTTTGTCCCAGAATTTTCTGGGGCAGCCAACTTATTGATGCTGGTCATGTACTTTCGGGCTTGGGAAAATTCCGGGGGCTGGGGCCCAGCCAACAGCTGGCAGCATTGATTTTTCGACTGGGTCGCACTTTTATGGCTTTTCATTTATGAAATTCTTGACAGCCACTTTCCCCCAAAATCCATTCCTAATTATAACATTCAGCTCTGAGGGCTTTCCATTAAAGCGGACTCTCCAAATCGATAGTAATAAAAGTGCCCCAAACGAATGTTTTGGGGGATCCCAAACAGACCTTTCTGGGCACTCGTTTTTAAGGCCATTTTCGAAATGGAAACCCTCGTCAGGTTGAAGGTAGGGGGTTCTGCTATTGCAAAATAATTTAAATAGCCGGGCAGCAGAAATAACTTTGCCCACTGAGACTTTTATTATGCTCGGCATTCTTTTGTTGTGTGAGTCTGCCAATTTATTGAAAAACTTGCGCTAAATTTAACAAGAGAAGTTTATAACAAGTTCGGAATTAATTTGATTTCTCGCAGAGACCGTACATAAACAAATAACAAGATAGGGGCAGTGCAAGCAACTCACTTTGATTTATGCAGCCGGAGCCGCAGCATCCCCAGCCAGGAACAGGAATCGCCCCCCAGCCAGGGTTCCAGTGACGGCATCTCTCCAGGATCCGGTGCGAAGGACCAAGACCAGGACTTATCGGGGTTATGGCTTCCTTATGAATTGCCGGTCTTGAGTGAGCTCACTTAGCCCGAGTACTGTATGCTTGCCAGGCTGTTGTTTAATGCATTCTGCAGATTTCGTCGCATTTTATGTGATTTTATTTCGGACATGTGTGTGCATTGTTCTGTGGCTTCTGTTTGCTCTGGCCAATCTATTTCGGTTCTATTTGCCTTCTTCTCGAGCAAAAGTGCCGGCTGTAAGTGCAAAAAAATCAATAACCAAGTTAGTCATGGGATATCTTTAGTTGTGGTGCATAAATATGGATATAATAAATGGCAGGATGTTGGAAAAACTGTGTACACAAATTTAGAGCGATGACAGCCAGCGATTTTGGGCCAATTACAAACGCATGGACAGGATGTGGAGGTCCTGGTGTCATGGCAAATAATTCCCATTTTGTTTTTCCCCTAATTAATTTCTGTTGTTGCTGCAGCGCGGCGCCTAAAACGTGATTATTTGATCTACATTCGTCGATAATTACGGATTATTGAAAGTTTTGTTTGAATTAATATTGAAATAATTTCCTGAGCCGGGTCGCGTCGGCATAAATAATTACCGAAAAAAGCGGGGGCGGGAAAAACAAAATAATCAACATAAAAATAAATGGCCTGGTTGGTTTCCATTTGTTTGGGCCGTTGTTTATCGCCCCATCTGTCCGCCATATAGGGTATTGGATTGGATTGGTTTCGGATCGGGATTCGAACCACCTACGCTCGCTTTTTCAGTGTGATTGCCGGCTAGAAATTAGGTTAATTAGTGGTCAGTTGTTGTGTAACTGCCGTGTCCTTTGATTGCTGTCGTTTTGTTATTATTTTCCCTGTTTTCTCTGTGGTTCGGGTAAATAGATAAGGTGGTTTTTGTAATGGCCTGGCCCTGTGTGATATACACATGTGATATCAGAACGTGTCTGAAATGGGATTCCCCATTGTCCCATCTTCCGCAACTCCTTCCCCTCACAAATGCACAATTGCGGCATATCTTTTCCCATTCCAGGTCCCTTGAATTGCCCGTTGTTTGTGTGTCTGGCAGTAATGAACTTTTATGCATTGTCATTAACTTTTATTGTATATATCTGCCATTCATCCTGGCACACACAGACAGAGGTATATGCAGAGGATATACACCTCTCCGCTGTGTTTTTGCTGGCATTATAATAAATTTAAATCATTTGTTGCATTTATTTTAATTATGCGCAATTTAAAATGCATTATGGCTGCAACTTTAAGGGGCTTTAAAGTGGCAGGGCGCTTAGGTCGGGCGTAATTTAATTTCGTTGACAGAAATTCAATTATTTGCGTTTTCCCGAGCCGCCGACTAGCGCACGGAAAATGTTTTGTCAAAATGTTCGGTAAAAATGCCTCACGCATGCAAAAGCCGGGCGCATGCTGCGTATACGTGCTTTCATTAAATTTTTATTTATTCCCCCGCCATATTTCCGTTTCCCCCGGCAAGTACATATGTATGAGTATGTCTGGCCGACGCCGACAAATTCTTCTGGTGTAATTTCATTACTTCAATGTTTTACTTTACTGAATTATAAATGAGCCCTTCAGTTTTGTGTGACGCGGCGTACCCTCCCGTTTTATAGCTAGTCATGTGTACCCAAAGCCCAGATGTTCGGCTGTAAATTCGAGGGGGAGGTCGCCCATCCACCCATACACCCACTCGCCCATCTGCCTTCTCCATGACTTTCAAAGGGGCGTTGGTGTCAAAGTTCGCCGCCCCCCTCTCGAGGACAAACGGTTCCAATGAGCCGTTGACCCACCTCCCTGTCGCTCCATTAATATTTGATAATGTGTGGCTGTCAGTTAGCCGTCCAATTGAGTGATTTCCCTGGCTCTGGCCCACCTGGGCTGCTATTCTATTACCGTTTTCGGTTTCGATTCGTTTCCTCTTGTAATTTTTCACCAGCTGCACCTTTTCCCACAGTGCAACTGGCCCCAAACTGAAGTGCCTGGCAGTTTGAGAACCTATACCCATACCTATCTTCTTTTTTATTCGTCGTCTGGCCCCGTGACAGTTTGACATCTGTTGTTGTTTGGTTGCCGGTTGACATTTCGACAAAACGCTGAGCAGGCAGCCCCATTGAAATTGAATATTATTAGCTCATTTCCCTATAATTGCTCTACGAGTCTCTGTGGCCGTAAGTACGGCCTCAAATTACACATATCACACATACGCCGCGTGGCACACAATCCGTGGGGCCAATCTATTTGCGGGGGCGGTGCCACCACTCCACTCACTATCTGCCCCATCGAAGTCATTAGATCCACTTAAGTGTGGCAACGCATGTGGTGAAATAGGGTTAGACTAGGCCAAGTCCATGCTTGGAAATTAGTAATGAAAATGCAAACAATTAAATGAACGTAATGAAATCCTTGACTAAGTAGGAATTTTATATTAAATGGTTCTTGTTTCTATAAAAATGAAACAACACAAAATGGAATATATTTTATGAGGTATTTTAGTGCTGAACAATTTCTGGCCTTCAGCATTTATAATTTCCTTTGTTTTAAAAAGGTCACTCGTTATTGTTATTTTTATAGAAAACCAGTTAGCATATGTTAAGTATAAAAGAATAAACAAAGCTGACCTTTGGGAGAAAAATAAATGGGTTTCTAAAACTAGAAAAGAAGGTGTATTTTTCTGGAGAGTAACAGTGCAGTGAAAACGAATTGACATAAAAATCTATAATCAAAAACCGAAGTTCGGAAATAGATCGAAAGGGCAGCCTAAATAATTCATCCAATTGTTTTGTGATTTAAAGTAAATGTACATAGGTATGGGGTTGCTTTATCCACTCGTTTCTTAGTGTCACCTCAACGCCCAGGGTGAGATGCAATTTTAGGCCTGTTGAGTGGAATGCCTGGTCTTCAGCTCAGTCTTATGTAACGTACTTCCATGAAGCGTCTCTGGAATCGAGGGCGGGCTAACGACGCGTATGCGCAATCTGGGAGGAGGCTGCCAGCAGCTGCACTCTGATTAGACAAAGTTGGCCCGGCAAATTAAGGGGCAGCAGGAGCAGCACACAGACAATCACAGAGTGCAAACGGCAGACTGCAGCTGCTGGCCAAGGAGACTGCCACAATGGCCAGGAGTAGTCGGCAAAGTTTCCAGGAGCAAACAAAGCAGCGAAAGGACCTCCTCCTCCTCTTCCTCGGCACCAAGGACTTCAATTTTGCGGCGGCTGGGCAAACTTTGCGACAAACAGCAACAAATGCTGGTAACCGCCTGCGCTTAACACTTTCTGCCGAAGCAGTTTTAATATATTTTTAATAACTCATGGTGGGGCAGCACCCAATTTAATTAGAAAGTTCAACTTTCGCCGCGTCAATGCGCCAGATGGATTCTCAATTTGAATTTCCCATTTCGAACTTCCCAACAAGAATTGCATATAGTTTTGATAGGAACATGGCTGATGTAACATTAGTTCTTCAAAGTAAATATAAATTACATTGTTCACTTCAAAAGTGCGTCATTTAATCTAAGAAAATCTAATATTGATTATATCACAGGTTATTTATTTAACTGTCATGGCTGGTCAGCTCTTTTTTCAACCATAAGAGAATGCAATTTCGGGAAGTCCAGAAAGTTAAGAGCTTTCCCGGCTTTTATGACCTTAAAGGAGTGCCCATTTGTGTCGAATAAAAGTATTTTGATTTGGATCTAGTTCTGTGTTTGCCTTTCTCGTTCGATTGCATTTCTGTGTTGTGGGTTGGAATTTCCCCATTTTTGTTTGTTCGTTCGCCAACAAAAAAGAGTTTGCCAAAATAACATTTATCAATGTCGTCTGTGCTCCCCATACTTTCCCCAAGCCGTATCTGGGATTTGTCTCTAGCAACGAATTGAAGTGCATCAAATAAGTTGTGTGTGCATGCAAGTTGGAAATTTGTTTGCCCAATGTATGCTAAAAGTGTCTGCGGGGAAAATTGGGAAACTCTGTAGCTCTCTCGCTCTGTCTAAGTATTTTATCAATAATTCAAAGTTGCCTCGGAAAACTTTTTAGGAATTTTCGACCGCATTCAGACGGAGATTTTCGTGAGAGTGCAACCCGGGAAAAGCCAGGAAATCCGAAAAATTAGCTGCACTCGAACTGGAGCAGCGATTTTCCTGAGCTACCCAATTTTCCGGCTTGATTAGCGCTCGGCTTGGAAACTTTCGCCGGCATTTTACACGGCTTGTTGTCTGTGTATTCGAGTATCTGTGTGTGCCTTTCTCTGTGTCGCGGCAATTTGTTCGCTGTCACTTTGCACGCGGCTGCGACATAAATTTCCCTTTTGCCGACCCAATTTTCGGAGGCGGCATCGGCTGCTGCTGCTTTTCCTGCTGCTGCACAACCGAAAAGAGAAGCGTTGTCAAAACTTTGCAGTTGGCTTTTATTTACATGGCGGGGCTCGGCTTTGGGTTGGGGTAACTAACCAAAAAATACAAAAAAATGAAAACAAAAATAGACCATAAATAAAAACCACAAGCAGCACCAGAAGCAAAAGCAAAAGCAGCAGCGGCGGCAGCACACAGAAAATAATGGAAAAAGTTAGTTTTGCATAACGCGCAGATCCCGAGCACACTTGAAAGTCGGGCGATGCGGGTGCCTGGTGGTCAGGGAAGGGTTAAAGTGGGCGAGGGGCTGCTGGGCGTGTGTGAACTGCAAGTTGGGCAAGAACAACAGCTGCTGTGGCCTCCACCCACACCGCCAACAGACAAAAGGGTTACACAGGGAGAAACCAGCCTCAGCTAAGAAGAGTGGTCACCAAGTCATATTTTAAGGATCAAGCAAAAAAAATAATAAACATTTTAAATAAGGAAACGAGATACATTGTGTTCCTCTTAAGTTCAGAAGGAATCAATAACACCACAATAGTTGAATTCAAAAATCGAACTTAAGGTAGATTGGGTAACTTTCTTTATACATTCTTCAAAAATTCATAAGAAACCATCAAGAATAATTCTAGAATGATTTTTATGGAATGTGTAACTATGATTATATTTTAAGTAAGAAAAAATCCATGAGTTGAACTAAGAAGGTGCCTAAAAGTAGGCAATAAAAAAGGAGGAGATACAGGGGATTTACCAATAATGAAAATTGTAGCATACTTTTAAACACCTTCATAGTAATGCTCGATAAAATTGAAAAGATTAAATGACTCTTTGTTTATTAGAATGAGATGAAGTCGATATAGAACCAGTATTT